AGAAAATGTTCAGCAAAAAACTCTGATCGCACATATAAAGAAGTCATCAAAATAAAACTTATAAGGAGCTGATGACATGACAGATATCGACAACATGACCTATCCTCTTCTGTGACCGAACAAAGCTTTTTTCAGTATTCCAGTGGCCTCAAAACAAACTCATAAAGAAGCTGAAAGAAACTTGCTCGCAAAGCTGACACAGACCACCACTGTAATTTGGAAAGCAAGGAGCCAACAGGCGGCAAGAACCCAAGCAAAATGAAGTACGACGTGCATATTAAGTAGTTAATATTTGTCCACAATAGGGTGCAGATTTTATAACATTAGCAACGTATGGAAGTACTTTTTTTTTTTTTTTTAAGTACATAACACCCTTGCCAATTCAGGTTTCGAGACAGACAGTAACAGAGACATCTGTTGTGTTTAGCTTTTATTTACCGGTAGCAATAGAATGCTGCCATACGCTTAGGTAAAAGGACATGGTAGTTTTCAAAGGACTTTGCCAGCTCTGATGAAGCAAGGGCAGGAGATTAGTGCCAGCTGAGGAGACATACACTTTACAGACACAGTCTAGGTTTTTAAGGCTTTTCTCAGGGGGAGCGGAGAAGAAAGATGGAAATATGCCCATTTTTCATCCAGACATGCAAGATTTAAAGCCTTTTTTAATGGCCTATGTCACACAATGAACAGTTTTAATTGTCAAGAAATTGCTTTTCCAGGTTGACTGCCTGCTTAAACTAGAGAGCGCATAAAACAGGTCCACTCTTCATGGAGTTCTACGTGAAACAACTTGGTCATGGAGATATTTATGGTTGTGCCTCCGTACGTTAAGGTCTATATAAGTTGCTACCGTGGTATTTTCAGAGCATGGCAAAAATTACAGAAGTAGCAAATTAAAAAGCCCTGAAGCAGAAAATGAGGAAGTTAATTGTCCGGAGTTAACACGGATACAGCTAAATGAAGTTTAACTCAAAAGCAAAAGGTTTACATAACAGGGAAAGCATGGAGGAAAAAACCAACAAACAAAACAAAAACAGGAAATGAAAATATAGCGAAATGGAATCCTCAGGAGGTTCACCAAGCTAAGACATAGATGATTTGAGTGTTATCTGGTAAGGGTGTAGGTATTAACTGTCCTGGCTTCTCTTTATATATGCTGTTCGGAGTATTTCTCCTTCTAGTTTAGGCCTTTCCTCTTGAAATGCACGCCACTAACCCCGGGGAGGCAGAGGCGGGTTCCTAAAACGGGTGTTGGGATCACAACGACGGCTGCTGTGCGGAGGATGCCCTGAGCCCCTCCACACCGGGCCCATGCCAGGTGCGTGCCCGGGCCCGTCACCGCTGTGCCCAGCTCGGCGCTCCGGACGCCTCTCCCTCCCCCGGCCCGCGTTACCGGAGCAGCAGGCTGGCTATCACCAGCCCGGCACACCGCCGCCACCACGGGCACCGGGCGGCAGGGAGGCAGCCCTCAGCCCCACGGCCGGGGGCGAAGGGCGCTCAGCCGCTGCCAGCTTCCGGCTGCACCGGCCCCGCGGCCCGCCTCCCCCGCTCCCCAGCCCGGCGGCCGCAGGCGGGGGGTGCGGCGGGCACTGTGGGGGGCTCTCCCCGGTGCCAGCAGGCCCCTTCTCCCGCTCTGGAGCTCTCCGCGGAGAGGCCCCAGCGAGACCTGCCACCTGTGGCCGGTCATCTATCCCCCCCTCCCCCGCCGAGGCAACGCCTCAGGCCCC